GAGTTGACACCCATAGATCCTACGAGGGTGCTGGGAAAAAGCTAGGTTGTCTATTGCCTGATCCACCATCCTTTTATGTGTGGAGCTTCTAGGGCTGCAAGGGAAGCTGGTGTGAAAGCGGAAGCCTTAACAGCTTGTTACCTTACCCACAGTCACAAAATGCTAGCAAGTCCTTGAGCAAAGGATGTGGGTAGCTCTTTTTAGTAGTTCTCTGTAACATAACAACTAATGTGGCATCCAGGAAAATCTCCCTCCTACCCTTCTCTCCTACAACTGTCTCTAGTGTGTCTGTGGGGCCAAAGGATTAATCACTCTAAGGAACTGTGAATGGAAATGAGTTTTAAGGAATAAAAAGAAAAGGTTATGGTTAGCAATCCTATCTGAGTACCTGTTCTCTCCCTCATACACATATATGCACACCTTCATTAGAGCTCATGATTTGCTTTTTTTTACAAAATTTTCTTAGTGGTGGCATCTGGGAGGCTGAGGCACAAAGATAACAAGTTTACACTCAGCTTGGGCAACTTAGAAAGACCCTGTTTCAAAATCAAAAGAGGGATGAGGGGCTGGCGAGATGGCTCAGTGGTCTAAAGCACCTACTTGGAACAAGCTTGGGAAAGCATAGGGACCGCGGTTCGATCCCCCAGCACCACATGCCAGCCAGCCCTGCCCCCTGGTGGGCTGAGCTGGCCACACACACACACACACACACACACACACACACACAATAAATAAATAAATGTTTAAAATTAATTAAAAAAATAAATAAATTAAAAAAAAATAAAACTAAAAAAAAAAAAAAAAGAGGGATGAGGATGTAGCTCAGCACAGAGGCCCTGAATTCAGGTCTCAGTATCACAAAAAGCAAAATGCAAAATAAAACAAAACCTGAAAATAAAACCTAACAGATAAGCAGGCTATACTCCAAGAACACCAGTAGCTACTAGTTACCTTCTCCTTCTCCTATGCCACCATTTCTGTCCCTGAGTACTTGAACTGCTGAGCAGGAGAGCTGAGGTATGAGGCACAGGAATAGAAGACATAGAAGGGGCCTTCAGAGCCTCTTCCTGAGGACCATCTGGCACCATGTGTTCAAGAGAAGTTCTTTCTTGATCAAAGACCACCTAGCTTTTGTACACAGTCCCCATAACTACAAGTAATGGATGCTTTTAAAGAAGCTAATATGATAATGTTCGTAGAAAACTAAGATTCCCAGAAAATACGGCAACAGGTAACTGATCTGAAGATTTGTTCCCCCTCATTTCCTTGTGAAGTTTTTCATATGATAGACATGGAGCCCACTGCTCACCTTCCCCTTCAGTGAGCTCTTGACAGCTTCCTATAGGTCCCTAGTGATGCTGGTGGTTGAAAATGGCATCACATCTCCTTGATGTCCAAAGCTGTTGCCCTTGATGCTCAGAGGATGCCCCAGTTATCAGAGGAATGTTTTGGAATAGTCATACCCACCACAAGGGGACAAGTGAGGATGCACCATGACTTGGGCTTCTCTCTCCTGATTTGACCAGTCAGGCTGACACAGGAGTCACAAAGGAACATGGGGACCTGGGGGCAGTACAACTGGACTGAGGGAGGCAAGAGTTCTTTCGTGAGGAAATGGCTTCCCAGTCAGCAATTTGCCCTTAGCTGAGTGAGGTACCTAGTAACCATGGCCACAAAGCCCTCCTATTATGTCCTGAGAGCTTTGCTGTGAGATCAGGGCCTCTCTAAAGGCTCAGCTGGCTGAGGGGACAGAAGCAGGTCTTCTAAAGTCCTTGCATACCCACAAGGGCCTGGATCCTCAAAGTATGTCCCAACATTGCCCAGGAACAACCTCAGCTCAGGCTGGAATCCCCATTCTGTAGCCATCAAGTCTATCTTGCTGGGGGCTCTAGGCAGCCCTGATGGAGCAACTGCTAGGGACAGATGATTTTTCTGAATCCAGGAGCCACAGTGAGAAAAGCAGGGAATTGGAATCCCATGGGAATGTGTGAGGCTTTCTCCTTTGCCTTCTGGGGAAATAATCCTGAAAGCTCCTTTTTCTTTATGTTGTCAAAGACAGTTCTAGAACCTCCTATGGTCACTCATCCTCACCACCAAAATAATGGTTTTTTTTTTTTTTTTTGTAGTACCAGGGAATTGTACCCAGGCAGGCCTTTGCGTTGAACCAGCTCTCTTTTTGTCTTGTTTACTTCCCCAGGTTGCACTCAATCTTGTGATTTTCTTGCCTCAGCCTACCGAGTGGAGGGATTATAATGGGTATGTGCCAGCATGCCTGGCACTATTCTACTTTTTTGAATTTAAATTCCATACACTGTAGTTACTTTAACTCTAGAAAAATTCTTAAAAAGATAACTGAAAAATGTTGAACAAGGAAAACCACCACTCTTAATCCTGCCACTATAGGATTTTTTTTTTTTCCATTCTTACAAGCACCTTCTAGTCTTCCTGGTCCAGAGGCACACTTCTGCTAAGCTACTGTCATTAGATAGATAGATAGATAGACAGACAGACAGACAGACAGACAGACAGACAGAGTCTTCCACAACATACAAAATGTTTCCCCATTTTCCCCTGTAGCTCCTATAATTCCTGCTCTCCTAGGGTCTCCACATTGCTGATAGGCAGTATGTATTGGGGCTTGGGGTTTCCTGTTGGGCTTCCCTCTTGGGATGACATGGGGGTATCCCATATGCTGCCTCTTCACAGAACCTATGATCTATATTCTGCCAAGGATTCCTGTCTCTTTCCCTTCCTTTGCAATCTACAGGTGACCCCAGAGTTTTAAATAAGTTAATAGAGTGTTCTATAAATATCATTTGTGAAACACATGCTCTACTGCTGAGATACACCCCTTGCCATACAAATATCGCTTGCATTCTTCCCAGTGTGTTCCCTAGGTGGGAAATGTGACTGCTGCATGAACATTCTAGTACAGTGGTAGTGATCTGCTATAAAACAAAGCCATTCTTTGAGGCTGTGTCAGATTGTGAAGAGGGCTTTGGTATAGATTGAAAAAAACTTGGAACTGAGGAAGACGGTGTTTTACTTGGGAGCAAGAGTTTTTAAAACCTTTGTCAGATTTGTCTTGCCAAACTCAACCTTGCCTCTGATGGGGCAATAAATGCCCTCAGTAGTATGAGGGGGCCCAACTTCCTGTGAGAGCAGGAGGAAAGGCTAGTTTTTCATAAAAATATCCACAAAATGGTACAACCAACCAAGTGGCTTATTGCCCTTCTGGAGGGTGAGCTGGTGCTGCAGAGTTCTCTGAGCTTGCTGGTTATATTGGCTGACCCAAAGATGAGGCAGGCACACACTTAGCCTTCAGGGAGCTGGGCCCTGAACTTGGCTTTGTAGGTGCAGGTGGGTATGGCTTTGTTTTAGACAAAACTAAATCAGAATATCCAAAATCCACGAAAACCTCAACTGGGTGCTTCTACTGTGCTCTGGCTGCATCTGTGTGTGTTTAGTATCTTGGAACAGCAGCAGCCGCCACCACTGCCACAGCCGACCAGCTGTTCCCTCTCGCACATGTGTCCCCTTGTAAACCTTCTAGCAAGCTGGCAGGCTTCACACTCCTTACTTAGCTTTGTTTGTGTTTTCAATGAGTCAATGGGATATGGAGACTAATCAACATGTTTAGAAAAATAAAGGAAAAAAGAAGGCTCATGATGCCGGCTGTTCCAGAAAGCTATGACAGAAAAGCTCCATTAAGACTGTGGGCTGAGAGCAGTGGGAGTAGGCAAAGGGACATGAGGGGTAGGTTGGGGGACACTCAGAGCAGCTGCTGTAACCAGTGTGGGCAAGAGTCCTGGGCAGAGATAATAGGCCAGATGGGAGAACTCTGAGGTCCTGGGTTCTCTGGGACCAACTAGTATTGGCCAAGATTTTTGGTCTCATCACCACTGGCCTCTCCCACCTGTGCCCAGGTTCCACTTCAACCTAGGCTCCTGCCCTTGGCCCTACTGGCTCTCCATGAAATCATCTGGGAGTATTTGTAATTTTTTCTCCTCTACTGCTCATCCTTCTTCCTCTCCCATCCTCTCATGCATTCAAAGGAGGCCTTCCAGATGAATGAAACATCCCCTACAATCCTACTAGGCCTCATCTATAGTCCATGAAAACAGAAGCCCCTGAGCAAAAAAATCCAACCTTAATTCAGTCCTCAGCCCCAAACTCAGGACTCTGTATCCAGAAGCCAAAAGATCAAAGATGGCATGCAATGAGTGCATGACTAACATAGCAATCTCCCTACTCAGCTACTGATTTTCTTGCTTACCACAAGAAGGAAAGTCTGTGAGGGATCCAGTTTGCCATCAGCATACTGTATCCCTTCTTTCTTTTCACTATTTTTTAAAAAAATTATTTGGTACAGGGTCTCACTATGCAGTTTGGATTTGTAGTGATCCTCCTGTCTCAGGCTTCCCAGTGCCGGGATTACAGGTGTGCACCACCATGCCTGGTTTCAGGGCTGGCAAGGTGCGCCCTGGGTTCCGGGGATGGCACAGGATGCGGTACCAGGGATCAAACTTGGGAGCTTGTGCTTACCAGGCAGGTCCTTAAACTGTTGAGCTGTCCCCCCAGCTCATCTTTTCACTATTTATAGAAACCATTTGCAATTGCCAAGATCCAGAAAGAGCCATAATGCCTCTCAATGAAAACAGTATGGATAGCAGTACCTCTCTACCATGCAATGCTACACAGTAAAGCAAAGGAACTTGCTACATGCAGTGACTTGAATGAACCTCAAGGACATTATCCCATGAGAAAAAAGCCAATCTCTGAAGGTCATGTTTTGCATGATTCCATTTATATGACACTCTCAAAATGCAGCACAGTAGGGATGGTGACAAAGGTTAGGGACATGTTAGCTTACTTTCAGCTCACAAGATCCAGACCAAAGGAAGGGGACCAAGATCTTGGTCCCCTGTTCCAGACCCAAGGAAGGGGACCAAGAAAAGCAGTGAGATATTTCATACAACCAACAGAAGTGGGCTACTTACCTGAGCTCACACAGCCCTGCTGTAGGGGGTCCTGCAGTGACGTCACTGAATGGAGGACTAGAGAAGAGAAAGACACAGTTACATGAGGAAGCAGATCAGGAGTTTCTAACTACATGAGGTATAAGGATCAGGAAGGACAATGGAGAGCCACAAAGACTGGAGGGAAGTGAAAAGGGAGGAGGTTTCCAGCTACTTATGGGTAGGCAATGACTAAGAGCAGGTAGAAGCCATAGCCTATGACACTTTCACTTCTGTCTTTTAGCTGACTTTCCTTCCTGATTCCCTGATTTAGCTACTTGACTTTTACCTATATTTATGTATAAACAGCATTTTCTTAATTGGTAACTCATTTTCTGCTGCTTATAAAATTAGCCAGGCATAATCTTCTCATTCCTAAAAACTAAAGTCACTCCCATGGTGACAGGTTGTGGAAGGAGACAGTTCTCAGTTTCCTGGGGTGGTTAACAGCTAGAGGAGGGAAGCCCCCTGATTCCTCTTCCCATTCTAAAGCAGCTGGGGGAGTTTGGAGGTGGCCTCACCTGGTCCTTGTGGGTGTCCCTGCACGGGCAGCACTCCTTGGCCCAGCTCGCCATTTAGCCAAAGCTGCATCCGGATGAAGGGCTCTCGGCCTTTCTGGGTTAGCTTGCTCCATGGTTTTGGCCGGGATAGCATGTCACTGACACTGCCTTGGGATAGGCCCAGCACCTAAAGTGGTACCCAGAGAAACAGTCAGTACCCATGTATTAGCATGATGTCACAAGGTAACTTAGTGATGTACACATAGCTGTGTGGGGTAGGGAAGGAATGAGGGTACATAGGGAGCCTGGGAAACTGCATTTTGGGGGACTATGATAGCTTGTGCAGGAATAAGTTTTAAAGATTACTGATGGCTTGGAATTGGGTGGGGTCCTGGGCAAGGCATCCTTATAGTCTCAGCTTCCAGCTCTCAGGGAGAGATGGGGCTCCTTCCCAGGATCTGGATCCTGTCAAAACTGTGGGTTGTCATCCTAACAGCTGAGGAGGAAGCAATGGGAAGCATCTTGCTCTTTGCCTAGTGATACTAGGAAAGGTTGGGGTGCTGGGCCCTGAACCCCTCAAGATGCCAGAGTCAGGGATCTCAGAGGGGCATAGGAAGCTGGATTGCTTTAATGATAAGCCATGACTTTAGAAAGGTCTCCTCTCTCTGATCACACCCAATCCAGAGGTGAGCTGGAAGGGACCCGGAGCCAGTCAGAGAGTAATATTCAGCTGGAGATGATAGACAAGTTACACCCCCACCCCCCATTCCCCAGGCTTCTGATGCTCACATATGGCCATACATATGTATAGGCACACACACTCCACCCAGGACACAGATGTAGCCCAGAGATATTTAGGGGCTTCATCCTATCACTCTTTTGAGACATTCTCAAGTTCCAGAATAAACTACACTCATGGGCCAAACAAGTGCAATGCTATTAAGTCTCTGCTAAATTTAAGGCATGAGCACAAACGTCTATTTAAATGTTCTCAAGTGATATTTTTACAATACTGAACTAGAAATCTCAAGGGACTTTGAATTCCCACCCGTGCTTACAGCACCTCCTATCACCTTTTACAAAATCAAGACAGAGGGTTCACACTCAGGTTGCTAGCTCGGTGTATGGTAAGTATTGAGCCAAAAGCTGGACAGGAAAGAGGGGTAGAGGGTGCCATAAGGGTCCCTGGGGCCACTGTGGATCCAACCATGTGCCCTCTGGGAAGGCTACCTCCCAGGGGAATGGTGAGCTTCAGCAATTATGTTCAGCAATTCATTAACCAATCTAAAACGATACTAGGGCATTACATTTATTTTAGATTTTACAGGCATGGCAAATCCCCATTATCCAGAATCTGTCATCAAGGAAGTGCCAAGAACAGAAAGATCTGGAAGCTTATCCAAGAACGACACTTTCAAGATCTGGGGAAGGATGACATGGTAATGGCAGATCTCACCAGGTGTGTGTTCTGGGCTGTTGCTTTGCCTCCCTGGCTGGAAAATATCCAAGTATTTTCTGAGTAGTACTGGGAAGGAATGGTTGGGTTTGAGGTAGCTTTTCTATTAAGTTCACTTTGGTTCTCTGCAGCCTGGTTGTCTCTATAACAGCTGATCAGACCTTTTATGCCCAAAACAGCCTTGGGGGTGCCTCTTGGCTTTACTCGGCAGCAGAGGCTGGACAGAGTCACCTGCAAGTCTAGGACAAGCAGTTAACTTCCTTGAGCCTTGGTTCTTTATCTCAGGTGGTTACTTTATGAGGCATCTCCCAGTGTAGCTGAGATCCAAAGGATGGCACGAAGAGAAAAAGCCATGCCCAGAACCTGGTTTGCCACTGGGGCTCAGCATGTGGGTCCAGGGAGCTGGTAGCCTCTACAGAGGTGGGAAGCAATGACACATAAAGCATTTGGCTCAATTAAAATGGTGCTGGTCAAGTCTCCTAGGAGGGATACTAGTCCTCAACTACGAGAAGAGATGCTAATGCAAGTCCTGAACAAAAACTCTTACCTTTTCCCCAAAGATCCTCTGACAAATGCCATTCTTGGCCAGCTTCTCTTTAACCTGTCGGGTGAGCTCGATGGTGTCTACCTCCTGATACATGTAGATCTCATATTGTTCGGGGGTCAGTGGAGGAACAGAGGGTTTGGTGGGCTTTGCCATGGGCACGATTGGAGAGGAAGGCAGAGGGCTGTTCTGTGGTGTCTCGCTGCGGCTGGCTCCAGTCAGGCTCAGCTCTGAGCTCTGGGAGTATGGAGACTCAGCGTTGGGCCATTCTTTCCAATACTCCGACGAGAGGCCCTGGTGCTGGCTGCGCTCGGCTCGGGGCTGGCTGCCACTGTTACCCTTTTCTTTCCCGCCTGTGGCCTCTTCACCTTTTGTCTCTTCAGAGGAAGTGGGGTTTTTCCTCTCGGGCTGTGCAGGGCTCCACCAATGATCCTTCCAACCACCCCCACGGCCCAGCTCACTCTTCACATGCCTCAGAACCCCTTGTGCAGTGTCTGTGGTGCTCTGTGGGTCCAGGCTGGGCACATCCTGGGCCTCTTTTTTGAGGGCTGGGGTGTTGGGCAGGGCTGAGGCATTAGCCTCGGGGGCTGACGGTGTTTTCTTCAGGGAGATGGCGAGAGGAGAGTAACTGGACACAGTAGGTATAGGTGAGGCAGATAGGAGCTTTGGGGTCAGGAGGGCGAGGTCAGGCTGGGACAGTGGGGCTGGTTTTAAGGCAGGGTCAAGAGCAGCCTGCTGGGCTTCCATTTCCCGGCGTGCTTGCTGCAGGATAGAGCGGATGGCATCATCAGAGTTCCCACTGCTGGATGCAGAAGATGGCTGGGCTGGCTCTGTTGCATGGGGCAAACATAGGGGGAGGTTGAGCTGGGACTGTACTTCATCCTACCTTTCTCCACCACACAACATAGGTCATTTAGGAGAACCACTCTATGCTATTATCTCAGCCTTTCCCTCATCATGGCAACATCTGTGCATTCTGTCTGAGCAGCAGGCACACAGTAGTGAGTCCCCTTCCTGATGGCCTACTGGGCTGTTTCACACCTGCTGGATTTCTAAGCACAGAGTGTGACAACATGAGCAGAATGGAAACACTCAAGAGATAATGCCCCCTGGGCTTCCTTTGTGGAGAATGTTAAATCTGACCTTAAATTCTGTGATATCTTTCACAATTCTTGTGGTTCTGTCATATGGAACAAGAGGCTAGAGCATCCTAGGGATCAGTGGCCATTACTGGGGCACTAACACTCTGTTTATATCTGTGGTGTGGCCAGCATGAGTGGGCCTCACTAGCAGGGGGAAAGGGGAGTGACAGCGGGGTTCAGGGGAAGTCCCTGGCCTAGGAACTTAGAGCTCTATGATTTCAGGAAATCACAGGCACTGCTGGGCCTCAGCTTTTCTACCTGTAAAAGGGGGGATGGCTGATGGACCAGACCAAAGATTAACTAGGTCCTGGTCTACATGTCTGCTTGAAGAGGTAGGGGGTGGATATGAGGACTCAGAGCAGAATGAGGTAGTAGAAATGACCAGCCTAAGCCAGGTTTCCAGAGGGAGCACGAACTAACTTACTGGATGAGCCTTGTGCTAGGAGGAGATTATGCAGCCACGTGAGTAGCTAGTGGCCCGTGCTCAGTTGTCATGGCTGTGCCCTGAAAGTCAGGCAGGGTCTATAGGGGAGGTACTCTGCAAAGCAGTGCTTCACGGGCACAGGGAAGGCTAAACATGAGGAAGAGGTACCCTCAGACTCCTCTCCTGCAGAAAGGGTCTGATCCACATGGTGCTCTTCCCAATAAAAGCTCAGCCAGAGAAAAGGTGAAACAGAGACCCTGTCCTCTGGAAAATGCAGCTCTTAGAGGGCCCTGGTTCCAGAAGCAGGCTGCAAAGGTGGACATATACCCAGAGAGGCTGCCTGCTCCCCATTAGCATTATATGTATCCATCATGTACCTGGTAAGAGTTTTCGCACATTCTTTTTTAGTTGCATGTGGTCAAGTATGATAACAACTAAAAACCAAAAGCCTGCACTGCATTTTAAAAAGGATAATTGAAGACAACCTGCTAATTCGAGATTTTAAGGCCCCAGTAACATTCTTAACTTACTGCTGGGGAATGACATTAAAAATGGCAATTATTAATAGCAAGACAGATGACACAAATCTGCTCTCCTCTGCATATACCTATGTGCTCACCACTGCTTAAAATTTAACCACTGCTGACCAGAATGCTCATGACAATTCTTTTAATTAAGCTTGGAAGACAGTGGTTGAAGAAGTATAAGCCATACCAGTTTTCTGAACTTGGAGCTCCCTCTTGGCTTGTTCCAGGATGGACTTGATTGCTTCATCAGAACCTGTCTCTGAGGCTCGGATCCGTGTGGTGATGTTACCTGCAGGGAAAAGTCACAGCAATGCTATCAAACCAAACTTTGGGTAACAAAATTAATGTTACACGAAGAAATCGTTTTGATAAATGGCCCTGAGCTGAGGCCAGTGTTATAAGGAGGTAGGCGTGGCCTCCCATAAGCCAGTATTCTCATAGCAGGTACCTAAACATCATGCAGGAGGCTTCCTGCTGAACCTGCCTTACAGTCAATGTTACTTGGCCAGCAGGACTGGTTTGCACATTCACCTGAGCCGGTATTGTTTTGGGTTAGTACCAGGGGAGACAAATTATTTAATGCAGTACAGAAAAGGTCAGATTCAAAGGCCATGTTTTTCATGAGTCATTTAGAAGCATCATCAACAACTGCTTTGGCTCAGGACTATATTCAGGCTCTGCACAATTATTTTTCCCAAAGAGGAAAAATGGAAAGGAAGGCAAAGGGCTGAGACTGATCCTTGATTGATCAATCTGGGTACACCAGGTCAAGAGGCACAAGGCTAAACATAATCTTTTTTAGACTCCATGACCACATATTCTCTTCTTGAAATTTACAAATAAAGAAAGAAGTCTGCAGGGATCCCTAAAGAACAAGAACACATTCTTAGGGTCACATGGTGATGTTCTGCAAAGCAGCCATGTGTGCAGATGCTCTGAAGCTATCAGGGCTCAGGGGCTGGCCCCAGTTCTTTCTGGAAGCTATCCAGGTATTTTAATTTTTCACTACCTTAATAGGAAGCGCCACGTGAAACTGTTTAAGGAAACTACTGAGATGAAGCTCCATTAGAGATGAAACTCCAAGGAGTGTGGTAGGGGTCAGCCTGCCAAGGACAGTGGGGGAGCTGACTGCATTTATAATCTGTCCACTTGTGGGAACTTTGACATATTTCAGAGTTAGAAGTTTGAGGAAGCAGCAGTATCTGATTTGACTTGGTAAACTGATTTTTCTCAGAGCAGTAATTGTTAATTCTTTCACCTGCTTCTGAGAAAACAGGGATAGTGTAGCTGGAATGGAGTCTGTGCTTAAGGAATAATCTTAGGGACACCTTCTTGTGGTTGGTCTGCACTCAGTAGAGTATAGGCAGCTCAGGGGGAAGGGGCTGGGCATCCTTGAACCCATGTTTTGTTTTATACTTACTAGCTGTTTTTCCATCAGGTTCCAGGCCAGAATCATACTGCACAGTTTTAACCCAAAAACACAGCTAATGACATGCTGCTTCCTAGGTTACTGACTGCAAAGAAAAACACCTGCCTGCAACATACCTTCAGACCCATTTCTTCGTTTCGGTACTTCCTGAAATAGTCTGTTCAGGCTCTGGCCTGGATTCTCTGTTGAAAAACAAGTGTGGTAAGAACAAAACAATCAGGGGAATGGTGGCGTCAACGATATGGGCTGTGTGACATGAAATCTGAGCCGCCTGATGCTAAATAAAGGGCTCAGGGCTTCCTGTGCAACTTGGAGTTCCTAGAAACTTGAGAGAGGCCCTTCACTGGCTGAATGGCCTACAGAGGCTGTGGCTCTACTGTAAGAGGAGACTGGACAAGCCTAAATAGTAGCCTACTGCTGCCAAGAGGGTCTCAGGGAGGAAGAGCTGTCTCCAAGCAAATCATCTGCTAGCCCCCAGAATGAAGCTCTCATTAATCATCCAAAGACATTCAATTCCGGTTAACATCACCATAAAATGTTCTGCGTTCTTTTTGGTGCAAATTGATGCCATTTGGAACACTGAAAGTCTCCCTTCTCTGTGTCTTAATTTCAAATGTACATTTGAAATGTGGCTGACAAAATTCTCTCTCTAAATCACTGCTGACTTGGCATGTGGGTCTCCTGTTCCTAAAGAGGGCAGGAATTCTTTATATTGTGGATATGGCTGACTTTTGATCTTTTTGTGGAGGGTGGAGTAGGAAGGGTATTTGAATAGAATTTTTATGTATTTTACTCAAGGCAGGTGTGTTTTACTAATAGTGCTAAAGAAAAAAAATCACTTAGGAAACATAAATGAGTTAAGGGAATGCATCTTCTCTGAGAGGTCAGGGGAAGAGAGGAAACAGCTTTGAAAGGCTTGCCCTGCAGAGTGCTGCACAAGGGTGGAGCCCAGTTAATGCCACTGCTATGGGGGTAGGCGGCACTTGAGGGCCACTCCCAAATGAGGCCAGCACAGGCCAGTTGGGTCCAGGGATCATAAATATGATAGGATGATGTGCATAATGCAATTTCCTCTAATTCAACACATAGCAGAGATCTTGAATTGCCTAAGTGCAAGGAACAGAGCAAGTTCCCAAGGCCAGCTCCCCCAGATCTAAAGGCTACAGCTTATGCTGTTTGATTCTTCAACTCTAAAAATGACACAACCAAAGAGAATTTTATCTGATGTGATGCAGAGATGTTTTGCCATACATGCATGCACCTGGCTGTGCATACATGCGTGCGCGTGCAAACACACACACACATACACACATGGCCTTGTGACGCACTCACACGCTGGCGCCGACCTGAGGGCATCTCTTACCTCTTTGTCTACCTTGGATGCTGCGCAGGGCCAAGATGTTCTGCTCATCAGAAAGGAACTGCTTCATCTTGTGGAATGGCTCTTTACCACGAACAGTCAGTTTATTCCAGGGCTTTGGTCGGGCCAGGATCTCACTCACAGACCCTTGTGACAGTCCCAAGACGTAATGTCCGAAAATACGCTGTCCGATATTGTGCTTGATCAGCTGCTCTTTGACCTGCCGGGCGATTTCTGCAGTGTCTATCTCCTCGCCCTCAGAGATGCTCCCAGCACTTTCGGATTGGCTGGGAGATGGGGCCATGCCATTTACATCTGGGCTTTGTTGTAATGGAGTTGGGGAAGATATGGAATTTGTGCTGTAGGGACCTGTTGAAAAAATCATGCTTGTGCTTCCTGCTTCCTGCATGGCCTTGGAGTAGAAGGAGTGCATTAGCTGTCGCTGGAGGAGAGAGTTTAGTGCAAATTTTCCTGTAGAAGCCAGGGGTAGGCTGGGGCTTGCCAGGGATGAGCTGAAAAAGTCTTGACTTAACCCCGCTGGTGAGAACTGGTGTGTACCATTAGTATTGGAAGCCTGCTCCCCCGTGTTGCGGGGCAACTGAGGAGGAGGGGAGGCCGGCAAGGGTCCAGGGCGCCGACTCTCAGGCTGGTCTTTCCCTTTTCTCCTGGCTGACCCTACAAGGAAGGGCAAACAGAATGCATTATGGGGGATTCCAAAGGGGAAAAATACCAAGATCAGAATGCAAAATAAGTTTGCCCTGCAAAAGGGAAAAAAATAAAAGTGCAGATTTTACAAGGGCCAATAAAGTGGGTTGGTTTGTTTTTTGATTGAATTTGTCAATCAGCCAAACTAGGCCCCCCAAAACAAGCCACATGCATTCATGTTTGCACCTTTCTTGTATGTTGCAGCCTGGAGAATCCCCTTTGACAAAGGTTAAAACTGCTAGTGACAAGGATATGGTAACACACACAGGGAAGAGTTGACAGGTCATGGGCCTTGTGTGGGTCCTTTAGCATTTGAGCTATCACCAGGGGGCCCTGCCTGAGAAGCAGCAAACACTGACATTTGGGGACCAGTGGGGTTGCTCCCCCAATGTGCCCTGAGGTGAAGGTATCGCACCGAGTCCATGTGATTGAAAGGCGCGCATGTTTTAGATTATGCAGTATCATCAGAGCCCACATACTGTTAACACAGTTTACCAGCTGCTAACCAGAAACAGTCACTGACGCCACCATTTTGGGATGAGCAAAGAAAGGCTAAGGATGGGGGATGAGTCCCCAAGGAAAATCTCACGAAGAAGAGTACCCTGAGCCTGGGAGGGCAGGTGATCCCTGTAAACAGCCTCTGCAGACACTCTAAGAAGGACAAGGCTGAATTTTGCCCCTGGCCTGTTCACAACACAACTACAAAAAGACCGAAAAGCCAACATCCTCAGGTTGTCCCTCCTGGAACCTCTACAGACTTGCTGCAGTGTGCGCGCATCTTGTCACAGGGTGGGTGGGGCAGAGCAGTGAGGAAGGGGTCACAGAACACTCAAGGTTAGTCACGGTCCTCGTCAACCGGCGTGCATGAGGCCAGACTCACATCACCCTCCTCTTCCTTGACCCCTGGAAGCGAACCAAGCATGGCACACATTTGTCCACCTACCGCTCAGGTCACTATTGGAGATGCGCAGTGCAGCATTCTCAGACTGCAGCGAGCGGTTCTTCTCCAGCAGCAGTACCTCCAGGGGCTTGGCCGCATCCTAGATAGGGCAGAGGGGGACTCATCACAGGTTCATGATGGGGTGCCATCACCAGCTCCTCGGACCCCACCCCCACCACACCTCCCTGTCTGCCTGCTTTTCTGCCTCAGCTTTCTGTCACAGAGATTCCCCCAAAGATGTTTAATGATAGGCAAGTGCTCTCTCACTGAACCACATTCCAACTTCCAGGATGTTTAATGGGCTCTTGGAAAACATTTAAATTCCTTTGAAAAAGAATTAATTTCAGCTTGGATTTTTTTTTCTCTTCTCCTTAAGATTTGTATGGCTTCTAGACAATTAATTATTATCTATTCTATCTCAAAATCTAAGCTTGGGCCTTATTTGACAACAGGATAGGCTGCCAAGCTACCAACCTATGTCAGAAAGTAATTGTAGATGTCAGTTGCCTTGTGGGGATTGGAAGAAAGTTTCCACCAGTGACATAAATGTTTTTAATTAAAAACAATTTTTAAAAATGAGAGGTGGGATCTTGCTATATTGCCGGGGCTGTCCTTAAACTCCTGGGCTCACATGATTCTCTTGCTGTAGCCTCCCAAGTAGCTAGGACTATAGGTACACATTACCATACCTGGTTTTAGGATGTATTTAAACTGGCCACCAATGTTTTTCCACTGAGGTGCACAATTACTGTTCCTAAGCTTATCTATTTTTTGATCTTGAACACTACCTGAATTTTACTTTGTTTTTGAGATTCAGAGGCTAGATGTGAAGCCAGGGTCCTTGTGCATGTTAAATATGTGCTCTATTGCTGATCTGCACCCCAGTCTCTGAAGTTGTTCTTTATTCATGTTCTCAGTGCCTGCCCAAGCGAAACAACAATTTTACTGGAATTAACAGTTTAGAAAACATTTCTCTTTTTGCCTGTTTAATTACAGATTGTTTGCTTCTATCTGGTTAAAAGCTGTTAGAGAAGGAAGACTCAGAAGCACAAGTGAGAGGTCCCATGCACACGTGGAGATGGGAAAGCAGGCCCTAGGGACCAGCAGTGCTGCTGCCACTGCCACAAAAAGTGAGAGAGTGTACCTGTGTTCCAGTTCCTTCTGATGGTGCAAACTCCATGGACTTCAGGATACTGAAAGAGCAAGACAGAGCAGTGATTTTATACTTCTATCTTTGATAACAGCTACGCTAATAAGCATTAATGTTACAATTTCCTGCTCTGCAGGAGCTAAGGAACTGACAACTCTTAACAACTTCCCTGGCAGGAGCTTTAATCTGATAATGTCTTTAGAATAACTAGTATTCAACTAGCAGTTGGCTAGCAAAAGATTTTTTTGCCCAGCATGTAAATCACTCCATATGGAATCACACCAGGTCTGTTCAAAGTATAATTTTAAAGTTTAATACAGACATCACATTGTTGTAAGTGGAATGTATCTGTGAAGTTTAAAGGGAATGAAAAAGTTCTCCCAGGGATACCAAAGACAGGACAACTCTACTATAGCCATGTACTGCTCCCTCAGTAATCAGCACCCATTCAGAGTGCAGGGGAAAGAGACAAAGAGCAACAGCCCACACAGAGATGGCTCAAAAGTCAGGCAGGCAGATTGTGCAGCCCCGGATCTGGAAAGCAGCTCTAAAGACACAGGCGGGTCAAACATCTTTCCCCACTGTTCCTGTCAGTGCAGGCATGAGCTGTAGCCCAGCCCCCCCAGGCTCTGGACAGTCTGAATGAGCCAGCAGTTGGGTGAGGGCAGGGCTCTGGAACTACTATTTTTCATGTTCTTTTTGCTGTGGACGGTCCCTTCTTCCTGTCAGCATCAGAGAGAATACGGGAAATGAGTATGTAGGACCTTAAGGAGCTTCCCAGTGCTCCTTATTATCCCTTACAGAGAACAATGGGGTTTGGGTAGGCTGGGTCTAGACGAAGGTTTACAACTTGTAGGCGGCAGGTCAAGTGGACCCTCCCCGCATTTGTGCAGTGGAGATTTCACCCGCTGGTGTCCTTTCAAGCTCAGGAAATGCTGCATAAAGATGTGACCATAGGTCAAGAGGCGCCTTTAGCTGCTGTGCTGGTTAAGGTCAAGGACTGAGCCCTCTATTCTGTCTGCATCTTTGTATTGTGTCTGTTGTGTCCACTAACAAAAACAGGGACAAGGCGGAGCTTATGTGCGTAAACCATGCGAGAGCCCTGGGTTCTTCATATTACACTGGAGAGACCATGAGCTATCTGTATAAACTTGTCTTTTTTTTTTTTTTTTTTTTTTTTTAAGAATAATTCACACTGTTTGCAACTATACTCTTGTTCCTTGTTTGGGATCTTTAAGATGATGCAATGAGAAGTTGAATGAGTTTGTATAGGTTAAGCATGCAAAATCTGAAAACCAAAACTTTTTGAGTGCCAGTATGATACCACAGTGGAAAATTCCATACTATGAAATTGCTTCATGTACAAAATTACTTAAAATACCACATAAAATTACCTTTCAGGTTAAGTGTAGAAGATGCATATGAAACAAACTTTGTGTTTAGTATGGGCCCTATCCCCAAAATATCACATTATGTATATACAAATGTTCTAAAAGATGCCTCCCAATCCAAAATATTCCTGATTTCATGGAGGTGGAGTCCAAGAGCAGGAATGGCTCCAGGAAAGGCAGAAGCTGCCTGAGCTAGTTCTTTTAGGTATCATGTGGCTCAGAAGACAGAAGAGGTTATGGAACACCTCCCCTTGGAAGAGCTTGGGGCACAGGCCCCTGCAGGGTCTGGGGGACACCCTGCTACACAATCTGGGAAGAGAAGGCTGAGCCAAGGGGAGGCTGGGGATGGCCAAGGAGAAGGTTAAGGTGACCCTCATGTACTGTGGAAGGGCTGGCATGGGCTGTGTGAAGGAAGTATCAGTGAGCCTGGAGTGTGATGGGCTTGGAGGGGACAAGAATGAGGATGGGCTGAGGGGAGAAGTCAAGGGTACGGTCCACTGGCCTGACAGCTCAGTGGATTAAAGTGCCTGCTTAGGCAGATGCAGGGGGCGGGGGTCAATCCCTGGCCTGCTGTGCCAGGCTCGCCCCCAGGGTGCACTGAGACTGAGATTGAGACTGGGCATGGTGATGTGCGCCTATAATCCCAGCACTTGGAAGCCTGAAGACAGGAGGATCACTATGAGTCCGACCTATGTAATGAGACCCTGTACTAAATACTAAATAAATAAATAAGTAAGTAAACAAAGGTAAGGGGCCAGGAACCAGCTAGGGCTAGAGGAGGAAACTTCTAAGCATGAGAAAGCACCAGCCCTGGAGGACAACCAGATTTTGGCTGTGGCCTCACAGAGGGAGAATCGGTCTGGGAAAGCAGGGTCAAAGTGCAGAAGGCTCAACTTCTCTCTGGCATTTTTACACCCCTGAAAAATAGGCTCCTATTTACAATTTCTGTAAAGGCAGTATTTCCCCTGACTCTGAATGCTGGGCTACTTTCAAATGTACAAAGTCTTATAAAAAGGCCAAAGAAATCCAGGAGAGGCCCGCATTGGGGCCTTTTAGCACTGGGTAGCCCAGGGTACCACAGAGGCAGAGTTCTAGGGCTTAGGGTTGCTCTGACACTTGCTGGCAGATGATCTTCCCAGCATCTGAAGGGGCACAGGCATCTTCAAACTTACTTTAGCTCTTTCTTCACCTCTTCATAGTCAGCCTGGCCTTTGAGTTTTTCTTCCAGTTGCTAAAAACAGAGAGGAATGTTAGCGTCCATGTCTGAAAGAAGGTCAGTGGACTTTGCTGACCATATTCCCTATATGACATCTGGCCATCATGGAGCAGGCAACTGGCAATGTGGGTGCCACCTTTTGCCTTGCTCTTCTGGCCTGGCCCATCAATATGGTCCCACTCTGAGCAACAAAGATTTAAATGTAAAATGCAACAGAAGCAGTAGGGAAAAGTTTCATAGAAGTGGCAAACAAAACAAAGGAAATTTCACTTTACATGAAATAACAGAAAACAGCAAATTAAAAGAGATGTACACTTGGTATATAAAAAGAAGTGTGTGGTATTTCGTAAACGGTATCAGGCTTGCTGTTTATACCTTCCGGGGGACATAAGCCTTTTGCTGTTGAGCACTGGTATCAAGGCATCAAGAAAAAAGTATGTGCTTTCTAGAGCCACGGTTGCTGGTATTTGGAGTGCCCAGCCTGACAGGGACTTCTGGTCCCCATGGTCCTCACAGAAAGTGGCAATACTTTCCCAGAGTGTGACGATGTTCTCAGGTAGTGTAGAAAACTTGCTGGAAATTTCAGGTTGCCAAGAGCAGCTAGTGTAGGGCATTAGCTAAGCTGTGTCCTAAAAGGGTGCTCTTGGACTGCTTTGCTTCTGGCCTTCCCCAAAGGGAGTTCCTTGAGTTAAACAAGGACGCTTCATGTAAAACCATGAGGACAAGGCAGGGTTTCTAAGCTCAAGCTGAATAAATCCATGGCTTGGGTTGTCAGCTCCCTCCCATCTATAGAGTTTCTAATAGTCGTTTTATGTTCTGCTTGCCCAGCCATGACTAGGACCACAGTTTAAGATACTTGAAAGCATTCTAGTGTAGGCAGGAGATACTCAGTGGCTGTCAGTCTTCAGGCTTTTCTATCCCTGACTCTACCTGCTGTTTTGAGAATGCAAGTGCTCTGAAAATGACACTGGCCCAGCCATCTGCTGCTGCCTCTGCTGGAAGTTTAATATGTGTGTATTTTCTGTGGTGTAAAAATTGCTCTGCCTTGCTCCTTTTTAAGATCTCTTGCTAACTTTATACATTATAATGGTTTTTTCAGTCATAATCAAATGAAGGGTAGTAAGCACTCATTTTCCCACAAAAGATTCTCAGGAGGTACTCCCCTAAAGAAGTGATTATTTTATTTTCTTCCTTATAGGTGACTAGTAGGAAGCTCAAATGTGCCTTTTTCCCTCCCATGAAGAACATTATCTGCAGTGTGGCTGGGAGACTCAACAGCACTGGGACATAGTGATGCATGTCTGTCATCTTGGCATTCTGACAAGCAGAGGCAGAAGGACCCCAAGTTCAAGCCCAGCCTGGGCAACTTAGTAAGACCTTGCCTCAAAATAAAGGGATTGGGATGAAGTCCCTGGGTTCAATCCCAGTATGGAAGGTGGGTGAGATATAGTTAAAAAGTCAGGAAGTCCCCTACACCTCTTTTGCTCTGAGACAGTTTGTCTTGGACAAACAAGCTGGAGGGAAGCTTGGTGGATGATGCTGATGATGCTTGTCCTGACATGCAGACCACTTCAATCTGGCTCCAGGGCAGTGTCTTTAAAAGTGACCTACTGTGGGTGCCACATCTCAAAGTTGCTTTGGGGAGGAAAGGGGGAGTGTGAGTAAATACCATGTTTTTCTATAAGTCTTATAGTGTGCCTGGGGAAGTGGACCCACAGAGGCACTGCTTTTGCTGATAAATGCTAGTGGGCAGGAAAAGCATTTAGGGCCAATGCCACAGAAGCAGAATCTGGGAAGTGGGTTACCTTCCCTAAAAATACACAGATGGCCCTGGCATTCTGTGGTTAGATTCAATAATATTGTGAAAGCAATATTCCTCAAGTAGACTGTGCACCCAATTTTGAATTGGCTTCTTTCCTGGACTAGTGATTTACTGGATCCTTCCTCCCAATGTGGAACAGCAGCAGCAGGAGTTGCAACCCCATCACTGCTGTGATCACTGATACATTCCATGTGCTATGTTGCTAGTTGTGATGTATGAGAGGTTAGTATCTCAGATGCAGTTTTCAGAGACAGATATGTGTGAGTGTGGGTGATGAACTTAGACTGTTGAATATGAAAAATCAAGCCCATTTAAAAAGTAGGGGGGAGACCAAACTAAAGTGAGTTTTCAAAGGGCAGGGGGAAACACATGTGAGATCATGCCAAATGCCAGACTGTGTCTATGCTACAGCCAAGTTCACCTATGGTTTTGGGAACCTAGCAGGTATTTAGGTTCCTCCTCAATGTTAGATAAATTGTCTCTTTGAACTCTTAAAATTTCAGGTAAAACTTAAACCATAAGTAAATTAAATGTAAAATAGCAGGTACTTTGGTACACAGCAAGTTAGGACACTCATTTTATAAAGGATATCTATTTTTCTCAAGTGAAAAATAATGTTGTTGGTGTTTAAAGGCTATAGCACCACCATCTCTGGCACTTTAGACCAATGCCAAGATCTGTGGAGAGACTGTATTTTGTGGGCCACTCTGGGGTGAGGCGCATGGAGTCTGTAATACAGAAGAGCAGGCTTGATTCTCAGCAGTGACATCAGAGGCCAGTTGGCTCTGGCTACGGTGGACCCCCTTGGCCTCTCTGGATTCCTGCTTGGCCTCTGGTTGATGGTGACTCAGGTCCAGGCCCAGTCAGCTTGCATCTTCTTACCCATTAATCAGGACCCTCCCCAAATAGTCTATATATCCCATGGTTCTTTGGGGAGAGGCAGGCTTCATGTAAATTTGGGATCTGCTGATACTGGGTTTGGGGGAAAAAACTCAGGGACACTCTAGTGACTGGACAGTGAGGAAGTCCCAGTTCTGGATCCACCGAAACACCGTGGTGGGCATTTTATACATGCTGAAGGGATACTGAGAACACAGTATAGAAAGAGAAACCCTGAAGGTCAGAGGATTGAGGATTGAGGGTTGTACTGGAGGACCCCATGAAGTGGGGTCCTGGTGCCCAAACAGACTGAAGACAGAGCAGATGGAGCAGCAGGGCTATCAAATATGGATCTGGCAAAGGAAGAACCCTGAGCAAACATGACATGGCTGCCTTCTACTTCTAGAAGCTAGGCCCTGGGCAGTGGGTTGATAGGAGTCAACTCTTTGGAGAATGGAATAATACTAGATCCCAGGGTGTGTGTGTGTGTCTACAAATTTAATATTCAGGTCACTTCTATGTGGCATATCATATATGCTGTTTTGCTGGGGATGGTGTGAACTCTTTGGATTCACTGAATGAATGGGTTGAGGGGGTCTTTCCAAGAGGATTCACCACAGGTACCCATGCACAATTAGCTCCTTTAAAAGCACTGTCAGTGACGCCAAATGATTTATAGGGATTTTATAGGAACCTGCTTAGACCTCTTCCTGCCAACTGAAGGCCACCTCATTTCTCACCCTGCCTCCTTACTGTGCCAAGCATATTGGCTTCTGCTTCTTACGCTGGGACCATGTTGGAATTTTTTCTTGTTTTTTCTTCTCCTGGACTTACTCATGGTGTCTTTAAGACTCAATCAGAACAAAGCTATTGCTAGAACTGTGTGTCCTGGTTCTGGATGACCTTGGACGCCTGATATCACAACCTGTATGAGCTATTGTGGAGGTCAGGTTCCATCTGTCCACTGGCTTATAGTGATAATAGGGTGACAGGAATGCAGTTTCAGGCCAGGGCTGTGCCTCCTGCTAGAGTTAAATGCTGGACATCTCTGGGCCTGATGTCATCAGAGACCATGATGATCATCCTGCCTACTCAGTGTCACTGGAGCTTAATACACTGAAAGGCCTGTGCCTGTGGGTTAGGACCTCACAGAGGGCAGCCCAACCACAGAGTGACAGCAGGCCTCAGAGCCACACTACTGGGAGATGGAAGTCATGTGATCCAGAGGTGGGGTCTAGAGACACATGGAACCCACCTGGAAATAAACGGCCTACAGGAGGCTGAGAAATGGTTATTAGCTTTTTTCCTGCCCCTATGCCTGAGACACACAGTAAATTCCTACAGTGGCTTAATGCGATCTATCAGAGCCTCAGGAGGTGGGGGCCGGCAGATAGAACCATGTTAGTTTAGAAAAAGACTCCCAGGTGATTCTAACACACTTGCTTACTTGCCCAGTACAGTGGGAAGTACTAATCTTTAAGACATCTTTAGAAAATATAATTTCTCTCTATGGGAAATTGGCATTCTTTTAGCTAGCCTTTCTTATAAATACCCATTTTAAATTGAAGCTATTGGTAGCATTATTTTCTATGCCACAGTGAGTATAATACAGGTGACTGCCTAATTATACTGCTTCTATATTCAAGTGTTGCGACAGAAAGCCACAGAATAGAGAGTATCAAGAATAGCGGCCCTGTCATTGCAGTTGGGTTATTTCATTAATTATGAACATGGAATTATCCTCCACAAATGGCACTGTGCTTGAGCACTTGTCACATTAGGCAGGAAGAAACATCTCCACTTGGAAGCCTGTCTCCCTGTCTATTTAAAGGTTAGAGGATGCAGCATGAGATGTGGATAGTGCTGTGCTACTGTGAACTTCACTTGAAAGAGTGGAACCCTGGCCAGGAAAGACTGGCAACTGTAACAATCAGGATGATAGGTCCATAGTCCAGGCAAAAGGAAGAGATCTTGGACAGTTTCAACTGGGTATGGGCAGCAAACCAAATAATCAGTCCCCCAGTTATAGACAATGCCTCCAGAGGGTATTAGCAGAAAAAAACCCAATCATTGTAAAACTCATGGTTTTTTACCCATAAAGCCTTTGCCTGTTGAAGATAAGGGCATATGTCTCAAAGACTGAGGACTGCTAGGTAGGGTGCTCATGCCTATAATCTAGCTATTTGGCAGACTGAGGCAGGAGGAGCACAAGTTCAAGCACAGACTTAAACTTAACGAGACCCTTCGATCCCTGGCATGCCATGCTGGCCCTGCCCCCGGGATGCACTGAGATGGTGACCGACACTGGGTGTGGTAGTGCTGCACCTATAATCCTAGCACTTGGGAGGCTGAAAACAGGAGGATCACTATTAGTCTAATCTGTTTAATGAGACCCTTTGGATCCCGTACTAAATACATAAAATAAACTTAATGAGACCCTATTTCAAAAATCAAAACATAAAAAGGATCAACCTGTAGTACTGAAAATGACAACAACAAACAGAGGACAAACTGCCAAATGCTCAGGCAAAATGATCCACAATTCCAAAGAGCTGAGAGTTGAACAGAAAGATGTGACATCCTTTATCAAACAGCACCCCAATTTCATTTCCAATTATATTTCCTGCAGACTCTCAAAGTGGGAAAATGTGGCTCAAGAAAAAAAAGTGGAGGGACAGGAGAGGAGTGGCGAAAGGAAGAGGTAAGCAATGTTAAGGCCTGACTTGCTCCTCATTGCTTCCCCTACAGTCACCACCATGGAGTCAAGAGTCTTTCCCTGCAAAGGCATCAGGTTGCTGCTGTGGCAAATCTCATTCATAAAAGTTATATACACTGGAATAAAACAGAGGCCCTAAGAAGGTATCTCATTTTAATTAACCTTATTCCTTTGGGGTGGGGGGGTAGATTTGCTCATTTGGGACAATCTAGGGTCTTTTGTGAGTGAGTTTGCTATCAGAGAAATCTTTACTCTTGGAGACAAGGGGTTAAGATAATTAAAATCAGAGAAGTCTTGTTACTAGAGGATATGTTTTGATTATTAGATCAGATGAAGATAAGGGAGCAATGATTTTGGAAGAAGTATTGCTGAATTGTTTCATTAACTGCACAGTATTAAAGAATTCCCCCAAGATATGGCTAAAGAACATTAATTTGTGAAACTGCGTTTCATTTTTTTGTAAAGGCAAACATTAAAACCTTAACTGATTTAGATGAAATTGCTCCATAATGAAAAATAGAAGGTCTATAGCATTAGTTGCATGCAGCCATATACAGGATATATTTGAGTCATACACTTTAACTATGACAAAGGGGAAAGAGGCAGATTATCTAATAATAATGCCATTGCAAGGGTCAGAGATGGCTATAACATGAGAAAATTAGGTTTAATCTAGAGATAAAAAATGAGTCCTGGTACTCACTGGGCAAGCCAATGAGAAAGGAAAAAATGCTGGCGAAACAGGAGAAACAGTGGCCATGGATGTGACAAGCTTCCTACATCTTTCTAAAGCTATAGGACTTTTTCCTCAGAGGGATCCTGGCATCCACCATTTTTCAGAGTGGACAAAATTCAAGGAGGCAAAGAAAAAACTAGAAGGCAAAGATGGAGAGTGCTACAGGTGTCAATGACAGGACTGCTGAAAATTTAATTCTAAATTTAAGTTTGGGTATGTGTTAAATAGAAAATTTCCATTAAAAATTAAAATGGACTTATTCACATGTTAAAATAACTTTATATAAGGAAAAATGTCTCTCTTTTTTCCTTATTTTGTAATGAGATCTTTGCTATGTTGCCCAGGCTATCCTTAAATTCCCAGCCCAAGCAGTCCTCCAGTCTTAGTCTCCCTGATAGCTATAACTATAGGTATGCATTACTGTTCCTGGCTTCTTTACATTTTTACAATTAACCTTGATCTACATCATTTAGTGTATACTGGTTCATTTATGCATGGAACAAGGGGCTATGGGGCAGGAATAGGAATGGCCCTGGGTGAGCCCCCATGGGCTGAGCCAGAGACCCCTAAATACCCTGCTGGTCCTGCTTCATTTGCCAAAGATACCTTCCAAGAATCCTCATGATGCTGACACCCAGAAATCTAGGTTCCACAACTATCTTCAAATTACATTTGATTTGAAGGACTGAAAGTACTTGCAAATATAACTACTATTATTTAGTATATGGAAAGGTGCTGGCTTCTGCTAGGCTACCTAGCCAGTATGTCTAGGAGGGGAGGCCTGGGACACAGGATATGGGAATGTCTGTCAACTTAGGGACTCAGACAAGATTTTAGGGCTTTTGTATAGCTCAGACATAGAGCAAGGTGTGAATCCTCCCAACCTCCCACTGAGTTGGTGTGAATCCTCCCAACCTCCCACTCAGTGCACTGAGTCGTCTCATCCACAGATAGCCAGAGGGGTCCACAGAGCTAAGGGCACATCTACATCAATAACCTCACTGTGACACACACCAAGCCCCACTTAGAATTGCAACAATGCCAGGTGTTGCTTTTGGAGGTCACAAGTGCTGAGGCAGGTGGTATATATAACAGGGGACTTGTGGTGCTGCAGGCAAGGGGATTTAGAGCCAGTTTCCCATCCTAGGTTCTGGGTCTCTGTTTCAAGCTGATGAGCAGAGGAATTTGCTGTCAGTTTTTGGAAGGCAGAGGGTATGCATGTGGATGTGAGTGTGGGTCCAGCTTGCTGGTGCCCTCAGGTCCCATGGATCAGTGTTGTCCTTACTTTGAGTGTGCTGTTCTTGGCGCTCAGCTGCTGTTCAAGCTGGGAGATCTGGCTGGCTGAGTTCTCACGCAGCTTTGTGAGGCTGGCCTGGAGCCTCTGAACATCCTCCACCAGCTGGGCAATCTCCCGTTCTTTGGCGGCCAACTCAACTTCCAGGCTGGAGCGGGTCAGCACTTCTATGGCCTGCTCCTGGGGAAGACAAGAGAAATGACAAAACTGTACCGGCTTTGACGTGGGTTCACAGTTCTCTATGAAGGAAATGGGGGTAGAAACTACCCAGATCTCAGGATGTGTATGGTAAGCTCAGGATGAGCCAGGACTCATCCTTTACCTGGATGCAACCTGCTGGGTGCCCTCCCCACAACACCTTCCCATTTACAGGGTTAGGTTCCACCTGGACTTGTTTGTTGGACAAATATTTTCTGAGTACCCACTGAATTCCATGTGCATGGCAAAAGCCCCAGTCTTCATGGGCCTCATAGTCCAGCAGATTATGGGGCTGAATATGTCAGGTCCATCAGACAGACTGAATAGTAAGAAGTGTGTTAGGTGGTAAAAGCGCTATTAAAAAAGCAAAACAACGAGGACACAAGAACCAAAGAGGTTCTGGGAGAGGCTGGAGGCTTTCATGAGGTGACCAGAAGTCCCACTGAGACAGGGACATGTGAGCAGAGTTCTGAAGGAGCTGTTGGCAGATGGGGAAAAAAGCATTCTAGCTAGGGAATGGAGACTGAAGTGACTCAGAGAAGGCAAATAGAATCAAACACTGAAATTTTCTACCCCAGCATGGGAGTCACTGTCCTTTAGATTCATTATTAAATTATTTAGAAGCTGCTGGCCAAATAGCTCAGCAGATTAAAGCACCTACTTAGGCAGATGCAGGGGCCAGGACTTTGATCCTTGGGCCTGCCAGGTCTACCGTGCCAGCCCCACCCCAGGGACGCGCTGAGATGGCGACTGAGACTGGGCGTGGTGGCGCTCCCCTGTAATCCCAGCACTTGGGAGGCTGTAAAGAGGAGGATCACTACTAGTCCAATCTACGCAGTGAGACCCTGTAGACCCCTTACCCTATTCAAAAAGAAAAAAAAAATTTAGAAGCTGAGGTCTTGGTTTGACAAATTGATCCTTAGAGTTTAGTTTTCTTTTCTTTTCTTTTTATTTTTGTGTTGGGTCTCACTACACAGCCCACATTAGTAGTGATCCTCCTGCTTCCTGCCTCCCAATTGCTGGTATTACAGGTGCGTGCCACCGTACCCGGACTCCATCGCTGGCTCAGTGCACCCGGGGGTGGGGCAGGTGCAGCAGGTGGAGCCAGGGACCAAACGCCAGCCCGATCCTTAAGAGCTTAGAATTGCCACCAAAGAGTTAAAAGACAAGGAAGATGCATATTTGGATACCTCTGTATAGAAACTCTTATTATAATTGAGTTTCTAAATAAAAACAGTTTTTTCCTCCCAAAATGTTTAACATAGAAAATTTGCATTATAGAGAAAAAAGATATTAAAGAAAGAAAAAAAAAGGTAAATCTCCAATTCTGCTTCCCAAGACATAGCAGTACTTTTGCTAAGCTTTAGAAGTAATCACAGTTCTAGTATGACCCTGGAAGATTTTCTGTAGGACAGATGTGCTTCTGGGTATGACGGATAGGGACGGGATTAGGGCGCCATGGTTTCTATGATGGCAGAGACCTAAGAGCTGGCTTACGGTGTATAGAATACCACCAGCCTTCCTGTGGCCCTCTTTGAAGTGTGCTGCTTCCTGCTTTGGTCCTGCCTGTGCCCAGGTGGAAGCAGGTGGGAGCCTGCTCGCCACGTAGCCAGGCACCCAGGAAAATGATCTTTCATATCACCCTCCTGGGAAATCTATACCTTTACTATTTGAGGCAGGAAAGTTTTGTGTGTCAAGGAGCGACCCTTTTCTGTTTCTTGGATCTGTACGATATTATAAAATAGGCTGTTCCTTTTCCTGGCCTCTGGTGGATGGATGTGTGGCTCCAGGAGCCTAAACATCTCCTGTTGGCTTATTACAAGATACAGCCTATCCAGACCATCCTGTCCAGCATGTGCCCCAGGGCTACTGCTAAGCCATCCAACATGCCAGTACACAGTGAAGCAAGAACAAGGATGGAGAGTTGCTGTGAGAAACCCTAGAACTACTCAAAATTTTGGTTCATTTTTACTGTCTGCAATACAATGAAAATTTAAAAACCAAAAGAGTTCTTCACCATGGAGTTTAGAAAGCACCATTCTAGATGACACTGGTCTGCCAAACCCAGACCCTAGGAGGCTCTGAAGCAGGAGGTGACATAATGGGAGATCAGTCTGTTGGTGGATGTAGGCTGCATCCAGTCATCTAATAACAGAATGAGTTTCAGCAATCTTCCACCGAGGATGCCAGCCACCACAGTGCTTTGAGGGCTCTTAAGTAGTCTGCAAAACCATTCCAATGAGTGGTCTTGCAACGGTCAAGTTCAAGAATCAAGGACAAGTGGTTCAAATATGGCTAGAAACAGCAGCTTTCAGTGCTGGCCCTGGACTAAGGATGACCTGGGAGTAGACCATCCTCAGAGGGCCACCTGCTCCATTCCCAAGGCCCAATCTGACCTAGAAATAGGACCTTAGGTTCATCATCTGACTCAGAAACTCAAGCCACAAATTCCTCATTGATAATGTAGCAAAAAAGCATTGTTGAGATCAGATAACATATCCAAATCAAACTAGGAAGCACCCAAACAAAACAAAAAAACCCCTGTCCTATCCCACCCATGGCTTGCCTCCATCTCACACATAGCTGGCGGTCTTGTCACAAGGACACAGTGGAAAACTAAGAAAGAAATGGAGATGAACCCCAGGAATGGCTAGGGTACTGTAGAGGGAGAGGCCTGAATTGGAGTAAGAAATTGGTGGCCTCTCATCACATCGTAGGCAGGCTGGGAGAGTCACTGTCATCACCTATGTGGCAGTGTGGACAAGGAGAGGAAGTGGCAGCCGCAGAAACTTCACTGGGTGGGTGTTAAGCAGTTAAGGTACGACTGGGCTCATGACTGAGAAGTGATGTCCTTCATTTGTCCCAGGTTCTACCAGGAATCAGAATCCTGTGGGACTCTAGAAGATGGCCAGGTTCTGGGCCTCATCTTGAGGCAGAGACTCAAAGTGGGGGATGGAGACAGAGGGAGTGTCCAACACATGATGATCCAGATAGGGCTGAGAGGATGATGGTTGAGGTATATGGATGTGACATGACAACAGGACCCTGTGGCACCACCACTGGGAAGGATGGTTTCAAGTCTGTTCAGCATGGAAATGCCCAGGTTCCAGGGTCCTACATGCTCTGTGTGCCCTGGCAGCTTAGGAGTTGGGAAGAGTGCTTAGAAGAGTTTAAAATCACTGTAAAATGTAGGGATTTCAGGTGAAGGAGTGAGCCACCAAAGGGAAAGTCCCTAATGTTTTGTTCTGTCCCTTTTTGTCCCTTTGAACCTACTTGCCTTCCTGTCCTGTGACCTGCTGGAGGGAACCATTCCCCACTACCTGCCTGTCTCCTTAGTACCCATGCAGAGATCAGAACACAGAACCTCACCCCTATGATCTTGTGTCCCATAGCCACTTCCAGGCTAACCATGAATGAGAGGCAGGAACACTAAGGTCAAGGTACTCTAATCATAACCTGCTGGTCATGGTAAGCCAAGACCTAGCTTAGGAGGAGAATAGCTAGAGTATGGTGCTCTTCCAGTTTTATTTCCTTCACTGGGAATGAGATAAAGGAGTAGAACCCTGCCTTATAACTCTTCCTTGTTATACCTCTGTTCCTGCCCCACCACTGGCATGACACATGGTATTTTCTGGTATTAAGGCAGCATTAGACCCCAAAGAGGGCAGGACCAGGGGATCAGAACTCTGAGCTGTTCTCTGCATATACCCATGAGGGCCTTTGCAGACCCTAGCTCACTGGCTTCTGCAAAGAAGCAGTAGGGTGCTGGAAGGGAGTGAGGGGTTCTATGGAGCAGACAAGCTAAGGTTCATAATCTGACTTGATTGGTTTCTAGCTGTGTGACCTGTGATAAGTTACTCAGCTCCTCTGAACCTCAGTTTCCTTACCTGTGAAATAATAAAACTTCCCTGTAATGACTGTGCTGTTGGAGACACACAGACTCACTATGGAAAGCTCTGCACAACTGTACCCTGATCAGGAACTCACCTAGAATTGAGGTTCCACTGAGACACCCAAAAGATGGGCTGTGGCCTCTCCTAGATCTACGGACTCTACTGTTCTTCCACTTAGTTCTGCCAGCCAAACCCAACAGCGCACTTTTCAGCTGGCACTTGCAGCTACATGGGGAGGCATAGTCAGCGAGCCCGGCAGGCAGCTGTGGGAAGGTGGAAGCAGTGCCAGGCAAACACAGCACTTAGTCTCTGATGAAGTGTGTAACCCCCCAGGACCCACAACCAATTCTACCTGTAAAAACATTCATTTCCTGCTGAAATGTTTGGATTGTTACAGGCCAGGATGGGGCCAGAATTCTTTTCAATATAAACATTTAGCTCAGGAGCCCTGTTAGATGAATTAGAATAGATGGCTTCCTCCCCAGACTCCCAGAGAGGCAGAGATGCTGCTGGCCTAGTCCTGGGGCTTCCCCTGAATCTGGTTTTGTATCTAGGGCATCTAAGCTTAGATGAGGGGATAGGAATAGAGCTGAGAGGTCATTTCAGTTGTAAGTGTTGAGAGAACTGATTACAAAGGGTGCTTTGGCCCCTTAAATGGAAACCTGTTCTCTCTATCCAAAATATTTGAATCCTACACTTAATGTTAAAGAAAGAAAGTTAAAAAAATCTATTCTTTTTGGTTTTTGAGATAGGGTCTTGCTATGCAGCCCAGGCTGGGCTAGTCTCAGTTCTCTCACCTCAGCCTCTTGTGTGCTGAGATTATAGGTAGTATGTTCCACATCACGCTAAAATCCATTCTTTTATGAGGTCCTATCACAGATACTTGGCTCCATATTTATTTTTGACAATCACTTAAAAGCCCTTGGGAGTAGGATCTGAGGCTCCAGCCTAATTCTGGGTTGTCAGCTACCTGCCTGTGCTCTGGGCCAGGTGCTAACATTCACAGGGGCTCAGTCTCCTCATGTACATAAAAAATATTTGTTTCAGAGACAAGGTGGATTAATGGCTATTAAAGTGACAGATGACAGGATATCATGTCTGCATCTTGTACTATGAATAACCACTACAAAGACAACAATGTGCAATGTACTAATTATTGAAACTGTCCTACTAATCAGTTTTGAAACTATCTTATTGCCATTTGTTTCTCAATAAAATTTAAAAAAAAAGTGGCAGATAAACTTATCACTGCAGCAAGTTTTTCTGATGAGATTGTATTCTCCTGAAAGGTTCCAGTCTTATTTCTTATTGCCACCACTGTCCCTATAAGTCAAGCCTGCAGTAGAGGGTACTAAAGGTACCCTAGTCAGAACTAAAGGTACCCTATAGTTAGGCTCATTTAACCTTAATTTTACACACAGGGAAACAGGTTCTGGGGAGATGATGCCAGCTATAAAAACAGGAGCTGCTATTCATTATGCACCTGGCCTACGCTACATGTTTTGGTCCTAACTTCCTGAACCCCATGAAACTTCTTTTTATAGATGGAGGAACTGTGACCCAGGAAAAGGAGCTATTGCTCAGGCTGAGACATGTAGAGCTGGGCCTAAACCTTGGTTACTGCCCAGGACCTTGGCTACTATGCTGTTCCATACAGTACAGCATTGAGGGGTTCTGGGAAATTGTTCAAAGCATCCTTGATCAAACTGGGAAAGTTCTGGCTATGAGCTGCTTTTGTCAGGTGGCAAAAGTCCTTGTTCTTCCAGGATGCTTATGCTGGGGCCGATTCCAGAAATTCTGGCTATTTTGACCTCTGTGTTCCCAGCTCACAACAGACTGATTTTCTCCTCGGAAAGGACACATCCAGGAGAAGAGCAAATGCCCCACTTTCCTGTAGAATTCTGGGGAAGTCCTATTTCAGACTTCCTCCTCTCAATTAATAGTCATCTCCAGGCTAGGCTGGGAAGGTGTCCTCTGTGTGTGAGCATTTCTTCCTAACCTCCATCTTGACGCGGGGTAAAACTCCTCCTTTCACTCTACCAAGTTGCAGCCCTAAGTTGGTGAATGCATTCCCTACTGGCTAAAATGGTATTCCAGAAAGCAGCATCAAAATCCTAAAGCAGAAAACAGCAGTAACACAAGGGTACAGATGCACTTCAGGTTCAGGCTACCCACCACATCCGGTGCCTTCTGGATCTGTGAGGCCAGCTGGAGGGAGTGGTTGGCCGATGAGAGCTGCTCCCTTAAGGTCTCTGCCTCTCTCTGTGCCACCTCTGCCCTCTGAGGAAATGGAAAGGGGTGAAGAGAGAAAGTACATTTGGTTTAACAACTGACAATTATTACAAGAACATTCATCAATTCATGCCTGACTGACTATAATTGATTTTCCTAAACACTCAACCTAATAAATGCTTGAAAAAAACATAGAATGTGATGGATTTTTATTTTAAACAGTACAAGGAAGAAATAATTGAGCGATTATGACAGTAATTTAACGCTAGGAGCAAGGAATCCCCTGCTGATACTAATGCTCCGGCCCACTGAATTTCCCAGACTGAATAAATACCAGTGGAAATAGAGTCTTCTGATTCAATTTCTTTCTATTCTCATAGACCAAGAAGATTTTATTGCAGGATTACTCCTGGGAGTAATTCTCACGGGTAAACAGTGAATTAAAGACTCTTTGGCCATTCTCTCCCTAAAAAAAGGCACAATGTTGTGGTTCTTTTCTTCCAGCAACATTTCCATAAATGGACAGGGTGTAAATGCCACTTTCTTTTGTAAGGACCAGTCTTACTTCACCATGTTTAACCCTACCCCAGGCAATGTTTTTGAATGTTGACACTGTCATGTGCAGCCAGCTAGGCCAATCTGTGGCTAAGGTATGTGAGTAACCTAGGCCAGTTCTGGGGCCTGAGTAGAAATGACTGCAACCCTTCACCATTTGCCTGTAATTTCTGGATGAGGAATGCACCAGTAACTTCAAACCCAGACTTCCCAATGCATAAGAGTCACTCCAGTGCCTGCAACTTGAAAGGGTATCTGGGAACAGAGAAACCAGGGTCAAGGTACCTAAGCTGCACTTTCAACTACCTATCTGTAAAATGGGAACTTTGTTCTTCTCAGAGGCCTGGTAAGGATGCATATTCACAGAGTTTCACAGTACACATGACTTGTGCTCAGGGATGTTTGTTAATGGGCCTTGTCCTGGGACAATTATGACTGGGACAGATCTCTAAGTTAGTAAATAGCAGCAAATGATGTTGGAAGGCACATGGATGGAAGGTGACATGTTACTTCTTTGTACATTTAAAAAATTACAATCTGCTAACAGAAAGATTAATGAGAATAGCCTGGCAGGGCAAGGATGTTTTGTGTGTTTTCCTATTTTGTGGTGCGACAGCTCGTGTCTACTAACTGCTAAAAAATAATTCACAGAAAGAAACAAGAAGTTAGTTTGCCCTGGTACTCACTGACCAATTGTATGAGGAAGGGGTTTTGGCAGCTTTAAGTGATTTGGTTGCAGTGGAAGCCTCATTTAATCTGTCTGCTATGCACATAAGACAAATTAGGATCTCTCCAAGGGCAGTTGGGCTTGCCCAGGGTGGGGCTGGTGACCACCTGCCCTGCTTCTTGGAAGCTCTGGATGTCACTATACATAATTCATGAGTTGCCCGGCCAGTTTGTATACTTTCAAGTAACTTGTCTCAGAGTCTTTGCTCCAAATGGAATCTAGAACTGGCCATCGGAAAAGCTGGCAATGAGAACAGTGTGGTGAGAATGGCAAGCATAACTCCTGGTTCTTGCTAACTGATCAACTATCATGGTTGTAGAAAAAACTCCTCTTTGACAGACTTTAGTTTATTTCCAAGTTTTTCTGATAATCATACAAATAACTGAAAAGTGTATTTTTTCCTTGCTAGTCAGCTAAACCCCTGGGCACAACAATCCCCATGACTGCCAGGGATGAGGTATATTGTGACATATTTCCTATTCTCTCTGACCGGGAAAAATATTTCTTCATCTAGTGGAGAAGCTGTCATGGTAGCAGTCAACAGATGGCATCAGCACTCTGATGTGTCACACTGTCTCTGAAATATTCTAGAACTACCACAGCTAAGGCAGCAAGTTTGTGAAGTGTCCTCAGGAGCCCGTGAGGATGCGGATCCAGAGTGCTGTCTTATCAAAGGCAGAGGGTCCCCAGAATAGAGGTGTATCTTAACATTCCCATAGGACACTGGCATTCAGCCCCCAAATTCATGTACAGAGTTTCTCCTGGCCTATCCCTTGGTAGTCAGTGTCTTTTATTTTATCTGGCTTGACTTGGTTATTTTAGCGCAACTTTTGTATTTAGGATTTATAGTTCGAGGATAGTTTTCAAAAGAACACTAACCCATCACCAAATAATTGAGTTTGTACAGTTAAACAGGCATAAACCAGGAAAATATTAAAAATGAGAGTAGTTTTTGTAAAAAGGAGCAAGACACAAGGCAACAGTGCTATGGAGCTGGGGTGGATGTGTTTCTGTAGCTGATAACTAAACGGAGCTTGCTGTTGACTGCTAGGGCAAAAAGAAGGGTGCTGAGCCACATTGGCTCCACCTATTTTGAGGTCACAGCCCTCTCAGAGCTGTTGCCTGTGATGCCAAGGACCTGTAGACACTGCAGGTTGGCACTAGAATCAGTGGTCCCCACAAACCCTACTGGTCACAGACCAAGGTGCTTGTTCATGAAAGCAAGATGAGAGATTTTCCTACACATGCCTACCGCAAAAGCACTCCATGTGTGGCCTGAGACTGATTGGACAAGCCCAGGGTCTTAGGAGGCCTAAGAGCAACCTAATAGGCATGTTCTGGTCTCGTGGGAATGGCCCTGGACTCAGCATGAAGAGTCCTGGACTCTGTCTTCTGCTCAGAACAGGTGCCCAAACAGACATGGTGGATGAAGAGGGTTTGAAAGCAGCTCTGCCCTTGTACTATGGATGGGGAAATCTTGGCAATGGGGCATCAGGGACTTGCTGGGCCTATGTTGCTGGAAATATCTCAACTGGGATTTCAGCTTTATGGTCCCAACTCCCTGTCAGCACACAATCCTTTGTCCAAATAACCCCACACATGGGTGAGCACCTTTAGCAAGTTTTTGTGTATCTTTCTGTGCTGAGCTTCTTCTTGGTGAGGTTAAATATGGTTTGCAGCCCCAACTTCAGCCTAAAGGGTCCTTTATTAGGGCAATCTTGTACCATAAAAATCATGGAGGTTAATAGGAAGACAGTGGGCTGACATGACTTCCTCCTGACCTCAGTGTCATAGCAATAAGCAACTCAATTCAGAGCTGGTAAAGAGACCACAGGGAGAGGAAAGTTCCTGGGCATAGTTCTGCAGAGCTTCCTTCTGTCATGAAATCTCAAAAGTTTTGAGCACTTATGGCCACTAAATGAGATGGTGAATATTAATGTGAATATTTCAATGTTGACCAAACAGGTGTCAAGGACACTCCTACTTAACTCTCAGCTGCTGCTTGCTCTTCTGGTATTCCCTGTAAAAAATACAAGCACCTTGTAATACAACAAGGTTACCAGTCTTGTAGAACCTGACTACAAATCCTGTACAAAAAAACTTGTATCAGGTCAATAAACTAGGAAACCACTCCTTCGGGGGGGGAGGGTCCTCCTTGATAGGGAGGTTTCTAGTCCAGATGATGTGTGGCTTCACTGAGGCCAGGTACCTCTTCCCAGGCTCTGTTGGCTTTTCCTGTGCTGTCACTATAGCTGCTTATGCCACTCAGGTTTAGCCAGGGTGATGCCCCCCCAGATCACAAATCTGAGGTCTTTCTTCTGCCTATAATTCCTACACTGATCCTAGGCTGGTCTCTCCCCAACCTGTCAGACTTGCCTGTCACTCTACATGCGGGCTCTTCTGGTGGCTTGGTACTCTATCCTGCCCACTTCCCAGGTGCTTTCCTCCAAGTTTAAGGTCCAGGTCAGTGTTGTTGCTTCTGACTTCCTTCAGATTTTTCACTGCCTTTCTACTTGTCTGCAGGAGCAGGGATAATACTTTTAACATTGTGGGGCTTGTATCTTCCCTACTTGGATGTTTTCTTACACAAGTGGGTTCACCTATATTCTCTAAAATCCTAGACTTCAAGATGAGAAGCAACCTGTCATATTATCTAGTTCAATCCCTCCCGTTTACTCCCTGCCTGAGTCCCCAGCTCATACTTTCTCAAGAGTGGATTCAAACCTGCTAGCATAACTCTGATGACAGGGAATTCATTCCCTTCAGAGTAGCACCTTCAGAGGGAGCCAGGCTGAGAAGGAGCTTTTCCACACTGGGAGAATGCTTCCTCCTGCCAGCTTCCATGCCTGGCCATGGGGCTTGTGTATCTCAGCAAAATCCTAGCTTTCTCTTCTTTTTGGCCTTGAAAGCTACAAGGAAAGAAATCACAAGATCCCCACCCAAAACTATCTCCTTCCGAATCTTTTAGCATCCCATACTGCTGAAACGACAACAACAACAACAACAACAACAACAACAACAACAACAACATCATTATCATCATCATCATCATCATCATCATCATCATCATCATCATCATCATCATCGTTTCTTGAGACAAAGTCTTGCTATATAGTTTGGGCTGATCTCAGTGATCCTTTTGCTTTAGCTTCCTAAGTCCTGGGACTGCAAGTGTGCACCACCATGTCTGGCTGAAATTATTCTTTTTGCGCTGCCTTTTCTCTCTGCTTCTCAAAAATTAGCAACATTCCCAAATCTCTAGTTTCATTTGTGTCAGGTCCCCTCTCTCTCCTGGCTCTGTCCTCTCAATGTACTCTAGGGAACTGTTTTCCTTACAGGGTGGCTTCCAGCCTAAAATGGAACTTCCTGGCATAGGCTAACTACTGCAGGCAAGCAGTATTACTACTTACTTCATGGTAGAAATATTATTTCACCTGATGCAGTTAAGTAAGGCAATTAATGGAGGCTCAGTGGTTGGTAAGAATGCTACCCACCTCCCCACAGTCCTTCCAGTGCCCACATGTAACTAAGGTCTGTTGAGAGGTGGGGCAGAGCAGACAGTGAAAAAAAAAGCCATTTCACATCAGCTTAGCAATACTTGAGAACCTTGGCTGGAATGGTGTCTCCTGGCAATACAGTATGACTGCTCCAACTGTGAAACATGGCTGTGTAAAGAGGCTACTGGACAGGTGGTTCTGTGTCCTTGCTTTGCACTGTGGTGGCCAAGAGCCTAGGCTTCAAAGCCAGACTTGGACTCTGTTCCTGGCTCTGTATCTAACCAACCCTGACCTCAGTTTCCCCATCTGTGACATGGGAAACCTAACTACACTGATCATAGTGGACTCTGTGAAGGCTAAGTGACTAGATTCAGAATAGATGAGCCACAAAGGTCAATACTCCAAAGCTGCCAACTAGTGACTGGCACTCAGGTAACTAATGCTGCACATGAGACCTCAGGTAGTTCAGGTCACCTGAGTCTACTGAGGACCTCTTCCAGGTCAACCCAGAATCTTGGGGGACAGGTCTGATATCCAACATTGCTCTCCTGAAGGAGGAAAACTGACTATGAGCTTCCTGCTCTTAGTCATTACTATGCGCAAGCTGACTTTCCTGCTTCCAACTTCAGGTGGGTGTTATCAGGCAAGGACAGATACAGACACTCAGGTCTAGGTGTGCAGCGTTCTAAAAGGGCAAGACCTATGGTACTCTGGCAAAGCAACAGACAGAAAATGCACATTGGGAAGGATTTTCCTTCCTGCAGGGGCTGTGCTCACCTATAATTTCCTAGTACTCATGACTACCAGTTGTAAAAATGCATAGGCAGAGTAGACAGAGGCCTGTTTGCGGATTTCTGGGATGAAGAATCCACCAACATCCTGGCTACTTCTCCAGGCAAATAAAACACATGAGGAGACTGCTTACTTCTCAAGGCAGCAGGATCATGTGCTAAAGTAAAATCCTTTCCCAAGTGTTTAGCACTATCAAAACTGTAATATGTACCTGTTCTATGCTGGACACTGGTGGGGTCATTTCCTGAAAAGTATGTCTGGCCACTGAATGTCATGTGAGGGTCCCTCAGCTGGGAGCCCCCTCAGAGTCAGTGAGGACAACCACTGGAAGGTGGAGATCAAGAACTCTGTCAGGTGCTGGGGAGATAGCTCAGTGGCATAAGTACCTGCCTGGCAAACTCAAGGTCCTGAGTTCAATCGTTAATAAAAAAAAAAAAAAAAAAAAAAAAAAAGAACCCTTTCAGGCACCTCTAGAATGTAATAGATGCTACAGCAGAGGGTTAGGATGAGAAAAGTAGACCCTTGGAGTGATATCCACCATGTGATATCTGTCATTCTGGGGCCAGATCAAAGACTTCACAGAGGAAATAGTGTCATTACTTTTTGTGTTATCTTCCAACTTTTTAGAATACCATTATTTAACAACTGATAACAGTTGTTAAATAATAACTGGTCTCCTGTCTTAGTGCATCTTCTGAGACAACTAAAGGCCTTGGAATGTCCTACCTGGTTTGCTCTTTCAAGGTCGGTCATGATCATTTCAATCTCGTCGGCCCTGGGAAAGTGAGAGGGAGAGAGCAGGTTAGCTGGCAGCAAGGCAGGCTTGTGGAGGGGACAGGCGGACAGGCTTTCTGGCACAGGAGGCAAAATGATAGCATTCACAGGGATAAGGCCGGGTTCCCAAGGTGAGTGGGAAAAGGATCATGCAGATGTGTGAGGGTCACTGCTGCCCACTGCCTATGAGCTGGGAAAGGTGGTATGTCTGTTGATCTCACTCATGCCGCTTAGACAGCAGGCTAGCCTGCCCTGGAGAGGCTCCTAATCTTGCTGGGAAGCAGAGCTCAAACAAGGTAAAATACAGTATCCTGCCAAGGGCTTGAGCAGTACTCTGAACACAGGGCTCTGGTAAACAGAGAAAAGGGAGATGATTTCCCCTTAGGAAAGGAAACCAGGAAAGGCTTTAGAGGAAGTGAGAGGTAATTTGGGTTTTGAAGGATGAACAGAAGCTTGCCAGATTGGGGCTAAGAAAAGAAGTCAAGGAAAGGCTACATTTGGAAAAAGACCTTCACAGTGAAGACCTTGCCAGGACACAGGGAAGTGGGAGCAGGTAGTTGGCTGGAGGAAGGGCAGTCAGGGATGGATATGCCAGCTGAGGCTCTGCTATCTGTAGCATGAATGGCTGAGGTCACTGCTACTGCCTGTCCTGCTCATAAAAGTGGAGACTGCAGGCTCTTATTATAATTTTGGAAAGTACTTCCTTGAAGAGTTAGAAGGCAAATACATGGTTCTTGCATATGCATCACGGGAGGTGAGTAGAGTCCTATTGAGAAGGGCCTGCCAGTACCAAAATCTGTGTAGGCCAGAAAAAGCTGCTGGGGTCACTACCACACCTGTTTGACATAAGTCCTGGTGGTCACCCCTACCAGGTGGTAGGCTTCCCAGGAAGGCTCCAATCTGCCTGCAGGGGATTGGACTGGGGCTTTGGGATGGCCCTCTGTTGTCAGCCCCTCCCCCACCAAGTGTTCCCTCTGGCCCTGTTTATTGTTCATGCCCATAGCCCAGTGCCCAATGACTCCCCCACACTCAGAATTTAAATTGCCCAAGCCCCACCCTGTACCAGGCAGTTTACTCCCTGGCCCCAGCCTCCCAGGGCTTTGTCTAAGGAAGCAACACATTGCCCTTGCCGTCTTAGGCAGATTTCAGTTTCCACTTGACACCCCATGTACAGTGAGCTCTCTGAGGACCAGCTGTGTCTCCTTGGTTCTCCATCTGCAGGACTTTGCATTGGGCAGGAGGTCAGAAACCCCACCATGTCTTGTCCTGCCAGTGATAGATCTGCTCCCTAGAACAGTCCATAGCACATGGACAGTCCTGACTATATGAGCTCTGTCCTGATACCTGCTTCATAGGACCTGCAGCACAAGGAATGTGGGGGCCACCTCCCAGTAGCGAATACCAAGAGGGGTATTAGGTCCCTGTGTGGTCAGTTCCATGGCTTAGGCTTTTCTAGCCTTAGCTGCCCACTGAGGTTTGGGCAGTCTTCTTACACCCCACCCCCCCAGCAGCCTGCCAGGATTAGGTTCAGTGCTCACTATACCTGTCTGAAACAGTAGCTGGCTTCCAGGCTGCTCTGAGGAAGAACTGAACAGGCCCATTCAATGGCCTAGTTAAATGGAGCTATTTTTTGAAGGATTTCATGGGGGAGGCAGTGTTTTTAACATAAAAACCCAGTGAACCCTTGCTGTGAAGTGCTGGGATACAGGGGCTTGGGGCACGGGTAGTTTAAATTACCAACACACCATGGTATCATCTCAAGCATACAACACTACATCTTAAAAACTGTGATGAAAAGACAGTTTAATAACTACAAATCATTAAAAAGAAACCTAAAAAGACTGAAGGTGCCCCCCACCCCCTTTTCCTAGTACTGGGACTGAACTCAGGGGCTTTGCATTGGCAACATCCCCAGCCCTTTTTTAAAAAAAATTGAGACGGGGCTTACTAAGTTGATAAACCGCCTAGGGTGGGCTTGAATTTAGAATCTTCCTGCCTTAGCCTCCTAGAGTATAAGGATGACAGGTGTATATCATCACACCCAGCTAAAGTTGAAGGTCTGAAACACAAAAATGTGATCATAGTCTATACAAAAAGGTGCTGGCTTCAAGCTATAGATGAAGGATGTAGTGTGGACCCCACTGGGTATAAAATAAAACAGAAAACAGAACAGAAAGTTTACAAACTTTTCTTAGGCAAATCACGAGGTTTTTTATTTTATTTATTTGGCGGAACAGGGGATTGAACTCAGACCCTTGCGCTTGCCAGGGAAGTGCTTATTCTACTGAGCTATCTCCCCGGCCCCATCATGAGGTTTTAAAAAAAATTATTTATTGGTACAACATCTCGATACACAGTTCAGACTCACAGTGATCCCTCTATCTTAACCTCCTTAGTGCTGGGATTACAGACTTGTGCCACCATGCCCAGTTTAGGGGTGGCATGACATGCCTAGGAACCTGGGGCCAGCACGGCATGCAGTACTGATGACTGAGCTCTGGACCTTGTGCTTGCCAGGGAGGTGCTTATGCCACTGTGCTATCTCCCCAGCCCCCAAGTCACACGTTTTAAACAGTTTTGAATGTTCACCAGACAATTCATCTTGCATTTGACAATGTCTAGATACAGACAGTGAACTTGTGAACTGTGATATTTTCATTTTTTCACTCACTTTATCCTGGACTATGCCTGACGCTTAATAAGTTTTCTGGTGTTAGGTGACTATGTATAGGTATGGACATGTGTTGTAGTACTACAGATTTAGAGACTTACAGGGAAAACGGTACTGATGATGCCTAACTTCTCTTTCGGGTACATCAGCAGGGCTGGCTGCAAAAGTCAGGAGGTAAGCAAAGAACGGCCCGGGCCCAGGCAAGGACAGTGACTATTAAAGATCTCTTTTATCTTACTTAAATCCTGCTTAATTAACTTCTATTCATACAAATATTTCATCTGTTTGTTTGGAATGCCTGTTATCTGGATATCAGTGCCATACCCACTTCTGTCCCCCACCTAATGATGAACCTTTCTTATATGTTCTGTGATTTATCCTTGTCTGTTCCCTTCTAGAAGGTTAACTTGATCCATCTTGTTTTTAGCTGCACCTATACTGCCAGTTATCCTTTTCTTTTTTCTGTTCCTTAGCTTATTAACATTTTGCATCTGTTATTTCTGCTTGCTTCATTTTTATATTACTCCCAGTTTTTGTTTTACCTGGTTAATATTCTTCCTTGTTTCTGTGAGTCTGTTTCTCGGGCTTGTATTCATGGCTCACCTGTCCCCTTCAGCTCATAAATACTACTGTATTTGGGGGTTGTGTCTTTCAGAAAGGCTGGTCTTCTCTGGGGCCAGCTGTTTGTCCATGTGCTTAGGTGCCCACCTGGGGAGGAGGGACCAGCTATTCCACTTGGCAGTTGATACACAGGAGGTTGGGGAAGCTAGCCCTGGTGTGTGCTTCAATATGAATGGAAGAAGAAAGGCTTGCAGCTGGTGTTTACCAGGTTTTGCTGAAGGGGTCTTTATCCTCCTCATAGGATTCCCTCTGCTGCACTGTCATCAGGAGCCTGAACTCAGTCTTGCATTTTGAGGGAGAAGCAGCAGCAGCAGCAGTAATGGGAGAAAGGGGAGGGGGGCAAGGGGAGGAGGAAGAGGAGGAAGAGGAGGAGACGGTGGCTCCCTGGGGTTCCACCCCTTTTCCACTGTGCCCACCCATGCCTCACTCCTTGCCTGGCTGGGGCTGGGGAGGTGGTGCTCAGGTGTCTTAGGCACCTTCCTGCATGTCCAAGTTTCTTCTCAGAAAAATGAATGCTTTGGGTATGCAGGGAACACTGCCTCATCTCCAAAAGATTTCAAGTCTCTTAAACAGTGCCTTCTGGGCTGTTTCAAGCAACCTCTGGAAATGAACTTCAAGTTTTCCATGTATGGGTCAGTTTAACTTTGGTTCCCAAGCAACTACTGAGCAGACCAAAATACTGAATGTGATAACAACCACAGTAGCACTTACCTTTCATCATGAAAGCAACTCTTGTCTTTCTCAAGCTTGCAAAGGACAATGACAACACTGAGCTGTGCTGTTGTGGGGTGGGATTATTCAACTCCAGTTATGATGGTGACTGCTGGGCCCTGAGAGGTTACAATTCCCCACTACAGAAAGGCTCCAAAACTACAGGTAGGGCCAGTGAACGGAGCAGTCATGCCACTGATAAGGAGAAGTTTAGATTATTATATTTTTGTGGTATTGGGAATTGAATGCAGGGCCTTCATGCTGAGTTATATCTGTGACCCTTTTTGAGACAATTTTGCTAAATTTCCCAAGCAGGCCTAGAACTTGTAGTGCTTTTTGCCTAGCCTCCTAGACTGCCATGATTACAGGTATGCACCATTACATCTGGCTAATATTATTACTTAAAAGTCTGTAGGCTTGCCACTAATATTCTGGAGGATTTTTTTTTTGGGGGGGGGTCAAAGTGAACAAAACCAGTTACAATTAGCTGGAAATTTGAACTGCAGCCATAGGCTCTGCAAAGCTGGACACCAAGATGACTCATGCCACTTTGGGACATCTCCGGATCTCTCACTCTTACCAAGATGCTGCCCACACCCCTCCATCAGAATCAATCCTACCCCACAAACTGCCCTCAAGAAGTTCTATGAAAGTACCCAAAGGTTAATTTCATAGCCATCCACGATACTGTACAAGGATGATGAATTAAACTTACATGTGCTTTTGTAGTGTGAGTGTTAACAATTTTCCAAAGGTTACTCATTCTTTTCATTGTGAAGATTCAACTACAACATTGTTATCCAGAGCCTGGCATTAGTCTAAAATCATCTATTTTCTGAAGTCTGTTATAACTGCACATATTGTTTGCTCAGCAGAATAATTTATTATAAAAATTTAGTTCCCTCATCTTTTTATGAGCTGACAAAACAGCTTTCACTGATCTATTAACCTGCATTGCACTATGCTCTGCTATGACTTTGAACAGGACGTAATTTCAG